AAATTAAGTTCTAGGGTACATGTGGATAATGTGCAGGTTTGTTACATATGTATACTTGTGCCATGTTGGCGTGCTGCACCCATCAACTCGTCAGCACCCATCCACTCGTCATTTACATCAGGTATACATCCCAATGCAATCCCTCCCCTCCCCCTCCCATAATGGCCTGGTGTATGATGTTTCCCCTTCCCGAGTCCAAGTGATCTCATTGTTCAGTTCCCACCTATGAGTGAGAACATGCGGTGTTTGGTTTTCTGTTCTTGTGATAGTTTGCTAAGAATGATGGTTTCCAGCTGCATCCATGTCCCTACAAAGGACACAACACCATCCTTTTTATGGCTGCATAGTATTCCATGGTGTATTGTGCCACATTTTCTTAATCCAGTCTGTCACTGATGAACATTTGGGTTGATTCCAAGTCTTTGCTATTGTGAATAGTGCTGCAATAAACATACGTGTGCATGTGTCTTTATAGCAGCATGATTTATAATCCTTTGGGTATATACCCAGTAATGGGATGGCTGGGTCATATGGTACTTCTAGTTCTAGATCCTTGAGGAATCGCCATACTGTTTTCCATAATGGTTGAACTAGTTTACAGTCCCACCAACAGTGTAAAACTGTTCCTATTTCTCCACATCCTCTCCAGCACCTGTTGTTTCCTGACTTTTTAATGATTGCCATTCTAATTAGTGTGAGATGGTATCTCATTGTGGTTTTGATTTGCATTTCTCTGATGGCCAGTGATGATGAGCATTTTTTCATGTGTCCTGGCTGTATGAATGTCTTCTTTTGAGAAATGTCTGTCTAATCCTTGCCCATTTTCGATGGGGTTGTTTGTTTTTTTTCTTGTAAATTTAGTTTTGAGTTCTTTGTAAGGTTGTGAGATATTAGCCCTTTGTCAGATGAGTAGATTGCAAACATTTTCTCCCATTCTGTAGGTTGTCTGTTCACTCTGATGGTAGTTTCTTTTGCTGTGCAGAAGCTCTTTAGTTTAATTAGATCCCATTTGTCAATTTTGCTTTTGTTGCCGTTGCTTTTTGGTGTTTTAGACATGAAGTCAACGTATGCCCCATAGCCTATGGTTCACTGAAGGAAGTACCAATTTTATGACTTAGGTTCTGATGTATTGTGATGTATATAATTACTAAGTACCACACTGAATACATCTGAATATGTATCGTTAAAGAGTAAGGAAAAGGATCCAGAATTCAGCTTTCTAACTTAGAAAGACTAACCAATATAACACACACACATATAATATATATAATGCCATTTCCCAATTTCTTGTTTTAACAATAAAAGAGAATATAAAAAATCAAAAAAGAACAAGAAGCTGTAGTGTGTGGTATTATTCCTGAGTACACACAGTTCTGCTTACCATTGAACTAATACATGGATAAAAAATACATACCCAGTACATGCAATTTGGTTACTGTAGCCTTGACGTATAGTATGAAGAAAGTGATGACACTCCCAGCTTTGTTTCTAAGACATAAGGAATAAGATCCTTCGCAATGCCGGGCTCTTTTTTATAAAAATATACAACATATGAAACTTTAAAGCAGTTTTTTTCCAATTCTGTGAAGAAACTCATTGGTAAAACTTGATAAAAGAAAAAAAGGCAATTGAATCATTAAATTACCAAATAAACATAATGGCCCATTTTCACGATTTTGATTCTTCTATCCATGGCATGGTATGTCTTCCTTTTAGTTTGTGTCCACTATATTATTTCACTGAGACAAAAAATCTGGTTTGTAGTTCTCCTTGAAGAGGTCCTTTACATCCCTAGTAAAGTTGGATTTCTGGTATTTCATTCTGCGTTCTGAAGCAATTGTGAATGAAGTTCATTCTGATTTGGCTCTCTGCTTTGTTGTTCTGGTGTATAAGATGCTTGTGATTTTTGCACATTATTTTGTATCCTGAGACTTTGCTGAAGTTTCTTATCAGCTTACAGCTGAGATTTTTGGGCTGAGACAATGGGTTTTCTAAATATACAATCATCTCATCTGCAAACAGGAACAATTTGATTCTTCTTTTCCTAACTGAATACCCTTGATTTTTTCTCTCTTGCCTGATTGCCCTAGCCCAGAACTTCCAACACTATGGTGAATAGGGTAGGTGAGAGAGGGCATCCCTGTCTTGTGGCCAGTTTTTCAAAAGGGAATTTTTCCCAGTTTTTGCCCATTCAGGTATGATATTGGCTGTGGGTTTGTCATGAAATCGGCTCTTATTATTTTTGGATAGAACGTCTCCATCAATACCGAATTTTTTGAAGATGCTTTTAGCATGAAGGGTGTGAATTTTGTCAAAGCCTTTCTTTGTTGTTGTTGTTGTTGTTGTTTAGCTGTGCCCTGTCCCCAGAGGTGGAGTCTACAGAGACAGGCAGGACTCCTTGAGCTGCTGGGAGCTCCACCCAGTTCGAGCTTCCTAGCCACTTTGTTTATCTACTTAAGCCTCTGCAATGGCGGGTGCCCCTCCCCCAGCCTCGCTGCTGCCTTGCCGCCAGATCGGAGACTGCTGTGCTAGCAATGAGGGAGGCTCCGTGGGTGTGGGAGGCTCCGTGGGTGTGGCACCCTCCCGGCCAGGTGTGGGATATAGTCTTCTGGTGTGCCCGTTTGCTAAGATCCTTGGTAGAGCGCAGTATTGGGGTAGGAGTTACCCGATTTTCCAGGTGTTGTGGGTCTCAGTTCCCCTGGCTAGGAAAAGGGATCTATACTTCTAATATATAATGCTATACAAGCAAATGAAGAAGTGTGGGTGAATTCCTCTATAAACTGGATGTAGGGAAAGGCTTTCTAATGATAACCCAAAGTCCAGATTCAATGAAACGTTAATAAACTTGACTTTGAGGAGCTAGTATTTCTAGTATATAAAGAGTACTCAAAAATTAATGAGAAAAATAAAGAAGAGTGGAAGACATAAACAGATAATTAATAAAAACATATAAAAATGACCCTTAAACATATGAATAGATGTTAGTCTTCACTCATGATAAGAGAAATGCAAGTTAAAACCAAAATGAGATACCATTTCTCACCTGTAGGATTGGGAGAGGCTAAACAGTTGCTGAGGGCATGGGGAAACAGGTATCTCAGATATCATATACTCTTATAGAAGAGAGCTTGGCAGCATCTAACAAAACTGTGTATGTTTATTCATTTGGCTAAAAAGTTCATGCTTAAAAATTAACCCTAAAAGTACACTGTATTAATCTGTTCTCATGTGTTATTAAAGATATACCTTGGCCTGGAACAGCGGCTTATGCCTGTAATCCCACACTTTGGGATGTTGAGGAGGGCGGATCACCTGAGGTCAGGAGTTTGAGACCAGCCTAGCCAACATGGTGAAATCCCGTCTCTACTAAAAATACAAAAATTAGCCGGGCATGGTGGCAGGCACCTGTAATCCCAGCTACTCGGGAGGCTGGGGCAGGATTGAACTCCTGAGTTCACTCACTTGAACTCAGGAAGTGGAGGCTGCAGTGAGCTAAGGTGGTGCAAATGGGGAAAATGTAGATTAAACAATTGGTGACTCTGGGTAAAAGGTAAATGGGAATTTCTCTGTACTATTTTTGCAATATTTCTGTCAATTTGGAATTATTTCAAAAGGTATCCAAAAAGCTAAATTGTTTTCTCCTTCCTCTCCTTCTCTTTTTTCTTTCTTCCTTTCTTTCCTTTCCCTCCCTCCCTCTCTCCCTCCCTCCCTTCTTTCTTTCTTTGTTTCTCTTTCTTTTCTTTCTTTCTTTCTTTTTTCTTTCATTTCTTCCTTTCTTCCTTTCTTTTTCTTTTCCTCCTCCCCTCCTCACCTCCTTCTTCTCTCTTCTCTTCTTCCTTTCTTTCTTCCTTTCTTTCTTCTTTTCTTTCTCTATCTTTCTTTTCTTTCTTTCTTTCTTCCTTCCTCTCTTCTTTCTTCCTTCTCTTCCTTTCTTTTTCCTTCCTTCCTTCCTTCCTTCCTTTCTTTCCCTCTCTCTTTCTCTTTCTGTCCTTTCTTTTCTTTTCTTTCTTTCTTTCTCTGAGCCTTGTTCTGTTACCAGGCTATTACCCAGGCTAGTGCAGTGGTGAGATCTCAGCTCATTGCAACCTCTGCCTCAGCCTCCCTAGCAGCTGAGATTACAGGAGCATGCCACTACACCTCACTGATTTTTGTATTTTTAGTAGAGATGGGGCTCCACCGTGTTGACCAGGCTGGTCTTGAACTCCTGACCTCATGTGATCCACCTGCCTCGGCCTCTCAAAGTGTTGGGATTACAGGCCTGAGCCACTGTGCCCGGCCAATAGGCTAACTTTTTAAAGCTTAGTAAGATGTGACAATATATTTAAAAATAATAGGACATTATTTGGTAAGGGGGAAAGGAAAAGAGGAAGGACACATCCTCTGGTGCAATCAAGAACTTTAATTGGAGGCAGCTCTTCCCATGGGGGCTTTTTCAGGAGCTGGGGTGACTCTTGCTTGGTGGCCCAAGGATGGCTCAGACGTCTTCTCCTCCTTCAGGGGAGTTTCCAAATCCATCTTCATGACTCCTGTCCACCGCCCTCTTCCTCGTGGAGGCGCCTCAGCAGCTGTGCAGCCGCCGGCTAGAATGCTCAGGGCCTCCCAATGAGGCACGGCTGGAATGGCCAGCGCTCCTGGCAGTAGCGGTTTAAGTTTCTCTTGTAAAAATTTCTTTGGGAAGCATATGCATTCAGATCTGAAAGAAGAAAGGAAAACATTATGCTGGGTGAAGGCCTTTGAATAGGGCTTGGATGAACTGTTCTTGTTTTTTGTATCCATTGCTGATCATTTCTCAGATTCTTGAATCCCAAGGGACCCAAGGCAGCCCCTAACTTAGGACTTGGAAGACTTTTGTGATAGGAGGAGTTTCTTGCAGTGTGTTTTGCGTTGTGCTACGTTGGTGGCTTCAGTGACGGTAGGCTGTCTTGCAAAGCACAGTGGCATAGAAGGTAGGAGACTTGGGCCCCTTGTGGCTCTGACACGTCATTCCCTAGCGCACTCGTGGGAAGTCCCTTTCCCTCTGTGAACCTCACCCCTGTAGGGGGTGGGAAGGGCAGAAGGAAGGAGAGGGTGAGGTAGTGGGGTTCCTACCTTCTCAGGCTTGATTCAAGCAGAGCTGTTCCTCTTTGGTCTTTTATAAAAATTGGACTCTGTGAAATGTTGTTTTCAAGGGGGTTTCAAAATGACTGGGTTGGATAATCCTTAGTTCTCAGCAGGACTCCTGGGGTGGTTATGAGTTATGTGAGACCACCTGGGCATAGAATTGCTGGCCAGCAATGTGGCTGCATTTCTTCTTCCTGGGCTGTGCCCCTGTCCCGGGATTGGGCATCTGTTCTTCCATGACCCGGAGGCATTTCACCCCCAGTTGAACTACATTCAATCCACAAGTGTTTTCTGGCATTATTTACTTGCCATGCACCTGGCTGGATCTGGGGGCATAACAGGGAACAAAACTGATGTGGGCCCTGCCCTCCTGGCACTTACTGTCTAGTGGCCAAAGTAGATATCAACTAAGCATATGAAAAATACACGTATAAGATGATGCCGCCAGGTGCAGTGGTTACACCTGTAATCCCAGCACTTTGGGAGGCCAAGGTAGGTGGATCACTTGAGGTCAGGGGTTCGAGACCAGCCTGGCCAACATGGTGAAACCCTTTCTCTACTAAAAATACAAAAATTAGCTAGGCATGTTGGTGGGCACCTGTAATCTCAGCTACTCAGGAAGCTGAGACAGCAGAATCACTTGAACCTGGGGGGCGGAAGTTGCAGTGAGCTGAGATTAGAGATTGCACCACTGTACTCAAGCCTGGAGAACAGAGGGAGACTCCATCTCAAAAAAAAAAAAAAAAAAAAAAAAAGATGATGCCACCAAGCTTTGAAAGGAAAGCGTGGATGTGTGCCCTTTCCCCCCAGACCTGCTCCTTCTCATCCTCTTCCTAGCTTGGAAGATAGTGGAGTCAGGTCTTAGACTCTAGGGTCTCCCCAGTGTGCTCTAGAATATGACTGGGGCTGCTTGATGGGAGCGATTCCATCTCCCCATCTCGCTTAGCTGAAATATCAATGGAGTCAGGACCAGGCTCCCTGTCTAGGGGTTTCTGGTCAGTGTTAGGACCCCAATTTGGGACTCACCTTCAAACTCACTGCTGCTGGAGGAAGTGCTCTTTTTTGGCTGGATCAGGGGTGTTCTCGAAGGCAAATGGGAGGCTGCGTTAATGCGCTTGAGATTTTGTCTGTCAAGCTCATCCTTCTGAAGCTGCAAATCTGGCAATGAGATTTCCACAGGGTCACGTGGGGAGGCTTAGGTGAGATCACAGAAGTGAAGGTGTTTTGCAGGCTCTGAAGCAGTGCACACAGGCAAGTGGGGGTTACTATGGGGTGGGGGTGTACCTGAAACTACCACCTCCTGTCCTCTGAGGGCTTCTCCTCACAAGTAGGTGCTGAACTCAAAGTGTGTATTTTAAAATAATACATTATATTTGTATGTATTTATGGGCTACATATGAAATTTTGTTATGTGCATAGAATGTATAATGATCAGTTCAGGGCAAAGTATGTATTCCTTTTAAGACATTAACTTTTTTCCGTTTATAAATGTAATGCATATGCTTTATAGAAAAGTTAGGAAATAATGAATAGTATAAAAGAGGAAAGAGTGACCCCAAACACCTCTTCCCGAAGTTATTATCCCAGTTCCGGTTTCTTCCTATGCATATTTTACATAGTCCGTCATATCCTATGTATTATGGATGAATTTTACTTATTTATTATTTATTTTTTGAGACAAGGATCTGCTCTGTTGCCCAGACTGGAGTACAGTGGTGTGATCATAGCTCACTGTAACCTCAAACTCCTAGGCTCAAGCAATCCTCCTGCCTCAGCCTCCCAAGTAGCTAGGACTACAGGCATGTGTCACTGCGCTCAGCTAATTTTTAAATTTTTTTTGTAGAGAGCGGGAGTCTCACTATGTTGCCAGGCTGGTCTCGAACTCCTGGCCTCAAGTAATCTTTTAGCCTCAGCCTCGCAAAGTGCTAGGATCACAGATGTGAGCCACCTCAGCCAGCCCTGCATTTGAATTTATTTATATACATGATGGCATAAATTTTTTTTCATGTCAATAATTTTAAAAAATGGTTGTACAATATTCTAGTTTTTGAATAATGTAAGATTTATTTAACCAAAGTTCTAATGTTGATTATTTATTTTTTATTTATTTTTTTTTTTTTTGAGGGAGTCTCACTCTGGTACCTAGGCTGGAGTGCAGTGGTGCAATCATGACTTACTGCAGCCTCGACCTCCTGGGTTCAAGCAATCCTCCCACCTCAGCCTCCTGAGTAGCTGAAATGACAGGTGTGTGCCACCATACCTGGCTAATTTTTTTTTGAGACGGAGTTTCGCTCTTGTTGCCCAGGCTGGAGTGCAATGGCGTGATCTCGGCTCACTGCAACCTCCACCTCCCGGGTTCAAGCAATTCTCCTGCCTCAGCCTCCTGAGTAACTGGGATTATAGACATGTGCCACCATGCCCAGCTAACTTTGTATTTTTAGTAGAGATGGCATTTCTCCATGTTGGCCAGGCTGGTCTCAAACTCCCGGCCTCAGGTGATCCACCTACCTTGGCCTCCCAGAGTGCTGGGATTACAGACGTGAGCTACCGTGCCCAGTCCGGCTAATTTTTTATTATTTGTAGAGGTGGGATCTTCCCATGTTGCCCAGGATGGTCTTGAACTCCTGGGCTCAAGTGATCCTCCTACCTCCCAAAGTGCTGGGATTATAGGTGTGAGCCACTGTGCCCAGCCCCAATTTTTCTACCATAAATACTGTTGCGATGAACATTGTTGTATATGAGACTTTGTCTTTATATACTTCTAGGTTTCTAGAAGAACAACAACGAATTTTGTCGACAGTCTGAGCTATGTTCTGTGATAGACAGCTCTGTCATTTATTAGCTGCATACCTTAACTATTTGCTTAACCCCCACCTGCCTCTTCATTCATATCTGCAAAATGGTATGTTCAATTTGAATACTAATGTCCACTTCTTTGAGTTATGGTGGGGATTAAATAATATCATTTTACTGTTAAAATGTGATATATGCTCTGAAACAGTAAGGGATTTATCTGATCACAGCTGGGTCCCCAGTGCCTAGACAGTGCTTTGCATATTATAGGTTCTCAGTAATTATCATCATCCTTCCCTTGGGAAAAGGCATTCATATTTTTAAGGTTCTTGATTTTTATTGTGACTCTACTTCCAGGGAAAGTATTTTAAAGACTCTCACATGTGGATTTCTGTCAAAACAAATCATTGTGCTATCCTGTCTCTCAATGGGGGTCTGCCAGGTTCCTGGCCATCTGTGCTCACCCCCTCCCACTTGTGTGAGTCCTAAATTTGGCTGATTTTGACAACAATGCTTCCTTTTTTTTTTTCTGTCTGAAATAGTTGATTTTGATCCCTGATCTTCTCTGCTTGATCTCTTTTCCTGGATCTTCAAGAAGATTTTGATTACAAACTGAAGGCCAGGGTGCCTTCTCTGTCTCTCTGTCTTCCCTTGGCATGGTAGCCTAGGAAGCCTCATGTTCCAGAGGCCCTGGCTAAAGATTAAAAGGGGGATGGCTGGTTTGTACTAGACTTTGTGTAAGCAAGAAATAAATTTTTATTTTGTAAACCATTGAGATTTCAAGACTTATTTGTTTTAGCAGCAGAACATACTCTATCCTGATCAATACCTATATATTGTTTCTGTATGTTGAGTGCCTACTCTGTGCCAGACCCTGAGCTAGATGCTTATTTATATTGCCTCATTTTACCCTTCCAATGATCCTGAAAAATCATAATGTATTGTGAATAGCCCTATTTTACAGGTAAGGACAGTGAGGCTCAGGGAGGTCAAGAGACTTGCCCAACTTCTGTGGCAGAACTGAGATTTGAACTAGCATGTATTGCCCCCAAAACGGGGATCTTAACCCACTATTTTTATAGTCTTTAATCCAGTGTTTCTCAGACTGTAATGTATATTCAAATTTACCTGGAGATCCTGTTAAAGTGCCAGTTCTGATTCAGTAGGTCTGGAGCAGGGTCTGAAAATGCATTTGTAACAAGCCCCCAAGTGATGCCAGTATTGCTGGTCTGTAGACTACACTTTAAGTACAAGAGTTTAAGCTCTCCTTTTTATTGATTTGAGTACTTAGCTATCCAACACCCACCTCATTTTAAATTGGAATTATCACTCAAAAGATGAAGGCAGTTTGGGGGTATCCCAGCAGGCAGAGAGTGAGCAAACTGAGGTTTAGAGAGGCCATGCAGAGTGTCCTTATCTGATACCTACTTTGGGTCGATGGCTTGTGCTCTTGGGTTTGACTGGGAACCTTGGAGTCATCGATGGCATAGGGCTCCTGACAGTCCCTGCAGCATAAACAGAAGATCTTCGAGATCAGGTTTTGGTGGGCTGCTGTTGGAGGCAAAGGAATGAGGGGCATGGATTCTGGAATCTGAATTCCAGATGCCTATTGGAAATTGACTGTGGTGGTGGGGGGGTATCATTGGGTCATCCTCTCCCAGGGTATTAACATAATACTCCTCCCCTCTCCCAAATCTTCTGTAGCTTCCCATGGCCAGCAGATCCAGTCCCTTCCGCCTAGGCCATTTTTTTTTTCCTATTCTGTACAAATTTTCTTACCCATGGAAAGGAGTTGAAATCTCTACTCTGCCAGCTTTGTCTGCAGGGGTGCCTTGTTGAATCAGCCAATCTTGAGTTTGAGCCCAATTCACTGGGCTGGGCTGTTTCCTAAGTAAACATAAGACTGTGGCTGAAAAATGCTAGTCCTTCACCTGTGTTCACACTCCAGATAGGATCTGATGACAGCAAAATCCCACCTCATGCAGACATGCACGTAAACATGCTCAGGTTTCAGATAGCTCTGTGTCCTACCCCATTAACAGGTGCATGTTCTTGGGTGGATTCTTTACCCTTTTTGAACTTCACTTTTATCATGTGAAAAATGAGAATAGCAGTGCCTACTTTGCAGGAATAAAGAATCATATATATGAAAAGTAGCTCCTGTGGTGCTAGGTATACGATAAGTGCTCAATCAATGGTCATTCCATTTTCCTCCCTTCTCTTCATATGGCTTCCTGGCTTCAAATGATCCCAGTTGGTCCAGGTCCTATGGAAAGGAAGCATATGGACTCATAGCTTTAAATTCTGGTTTTGCCACTAATTTGCTGGACGGCTTTGGGTAGGTCCATGCTTCTTTCTGTGTCTCAGTCTCCTCATCAGTAATAAGAAGTTAGGCTAGATGATCTCTTCAAGGATCTTTCTAGTTTTGAAGGTCCAGGATTATAAGGCCTTGCTTTAGTCCCAGATTCCTTTATTTGTGTATCAAGTTTTTCAGATCTCTGGATACATTCTGTTCTCATTCCCCTTCTTGTGGCAAAACCCCCCTTTAAAAGGAAATTCTGATCATGGTATTGGTCAGGCGTCCCTCACAATACATCATTCACTTTGCTTTGTGAGTTTTGCCTTCATTATAGGCACTTGAGTCTCATTTTCTCTACTGCCATACCCTGGCCGGAGCCACCATCATCTCTTGCCTGAATTACTGCAATAGCCGCCTAACTAGTCTCCTTATTTCTCTTACCCTGGACTTCCTCCATAATTAATACAAAAGGTGGGGTAGTTCTGTTAAAATGTATCATGTCATCTTCAGCTCAAAACTTCCAAGGACAGGAAAAAATGAGAATAGTAGATGGAGAGATATAATATGGAAGGAAGAAATGGAAACTCAAATAGAATCAAATAGAAATTCCAGTTCTATAAAAACCAGTATCTGAAGAAAATATGTATTGGGTAGGGTTAACCACAGATTGGACAAAGCAAAAGCAATGATCAGTAAACCTGCAAAAAGGTCAATAGAAATTATCCAAACTGAAGCAGAGAAAGCAAAAAAGATTTAAAAAGGATGAAGGGTACACCAGTGACCTTGCGGGATGCTACCAAGCTGTGTAACATACACACGTTGCTGGACTCTCAGAAGGACCAAGGGCAGAAAAAATGTTTGAAGCAAGAGTGGCTGAAAATTTACCAAATTTGATAGAAAGCATCAACATAAGTACTCAGTGAGCACCAAACATGAAAAACAAAAAGAAAATCACACCTAGGCACATTTTAGTCAAATGGCCAAAAAGTAAACTAAAGAGCAGGCTCTTAAAACGACTGGAATAAATAAAGATGAAAAAAAGAACCTGTAAACCTTTCACTTCATATTCCACGAAAACATCCTTTAATAATTGCGGCAAAATGAAGACATTATAAGATAAACAAAAATAGAGAGAATTTGTCTTTAGAAGACCCAGCGTGCAAAAAAATGCTGAAAGATCAAAGGAAAATGATACCAGATGGAAATTCACATTTACAGAAAGGGATGAATAGGATAACAAATAGCAAATATGTGGGGGTAAATGCAAACTTTTTTTTGTGTGTGTGTGAGACAGAGTTTTACTCTGTCACCCAGGCTGGAGTACAGTGGTGTGATCACAGCTCACGGCAGCCTCAAACTCCTGGGCTCAAGTGATCCTCCTGCTTCAGCCTCCCCAGTAGCTGGGACTACAGGAGTGCACCACCACGCCTGGCTAATTTTTGTAGTTTTTATAGAGACAGGGTCTCCCTATGTAGCCCAGGCTGGTCTTGAACTCCTGGGCTCAAGTGATCCTCCTACGTTGGCCTCGAAAGGTGCTGGGATTGCAGGAGTGAGTCAAAAAGATTTTTTTCTCTTAGTCTTTCTTTCCTCCAAAATTGTTCTGTGGTTTCGCATATTCCTCAGAAGAAAAACCAAAATTCTCACTTGGGTCTTAAGATATTCTGTAATGTAATCATCCTTCTTCCCTCCTGTCCACTCACAACCCTCATCACCAACTCTGTCTTCAGTTCCTTCAATTCCCCAATTCCATTTGCCCCCTTGCTGAGTTTTAAAACACAGCAAGCTCTCAACTCAACAATTTGTGCTTGTTTTACTCTCTGCCTGGAATTCAGTTCTCTTAGATTACAACATTCTGTCATTACCTTCAAGTGTTTGCTTCAATGTCACCTTTTCTAGTGAGACTTTCTTGATTGTATTTAACATTATACCCCCTTGTCCAGCACCCCAACACTTCCTAACTCTTCCTTTCTTCCTTGCTTTCTTTGCAGACGTTTTCTTTCCCTCCCTCCCTCCCTCCCTCCCTTCCTTCCTTCCTTCCTTCCTTCCTTCCTTCCTTCCTTCCTTCCTTCCTTCCTTCCTTCCTCCCTTCTGTCTCTCTCTCAATCTCTCTCTCTCTTTCTTGACAGGGTCTAGCTGTATGCTCAGGCTGGAGTGCAGTGGCACAATCATGGTTCACTGCAGCCTTGAACTTCTAGGCTCCTCCTGCCTCAGCCTCCTGAGTAGCTGGGACTACAGGTGCATGCCACCATGCCCAGCAAATTCTTAATTTTTTTTTTTTAAGAGAAGGGGTCTCACTCTATTGCCCAGGCTGGTCTTGAAATCAAGTGATCCTCCCATGTTGGCCTCCCAAAGTGTTGGGATTACAGGTGTGAGTCACCGTGCCCAGCTTCATTTCCTAACACTTTACATTATTTGCTAAATTACTGTGCTTAAGGTCTGCTTCTCCCCACTAAATTAGAAGTCACATGAGGTCATGGAGTTTTGCTCTTTGGTTTACTGTTCTATTCTCAGTGTCTAGAGCAGTACCTAGCGCAGTGTGGGAAGTCAATAATTGTTTGTAGAATAAAAATTGAGGGTGTTTGTAGAATAAACTAGCATGTATTCTTGTCTTGAGTAAAAGCATTTGCAGGCCCTGGGGGCAGTAGAGAGGTGGGGGGTAGTTTTCGTGCCAGGAATATCACAAGCTGTAGGACACAGCTTACCTCATTCACTTGCTAAGCTGACTCTGATGGTTTCATGAGTCAATTTTAGTTCTGCTCTCTGTTTACTGGTTGGGACTATTTTTCTTCCCCATCTGCTGCAAAGCATATCTATCTTCTTCCCATGTTTCCTATTTTATGGTATGGTCCTATTATTCACTCTGTCTCTAGAGTCAGAAGCCTGCCAGCCTCCTGCTGTCTGCTCACGTTCATCAGTCTTTGAACTTTACTTTCCAAATATCTCTTCAGTCTGTCTGTCCAGTCAATCCTTTGCCATTTCCTTCACCATAGTGTAAGCCATCATCACTTCTCACCTGGACCACTGCTTAAACTTTCTCATTGGCTTGTTTGCCTCCACCTAAAACTAGAGTTGTCTGGTAGACATGTAAATCCTATCTCTCTTCTGCCCCAACAACCCTCCGCCCCACCAAGGGGGTCCCCAAGTCTGCAGATCCAACTTCTTTTGTGATCACCACTGTTATTCTCTTCAGCCTCATTTTCTCTGAGTTGCACTCGCCGCCCTACAGCCATAAGAGATGCTGTATAGGCAGCTCACCCAATCACCTTTTACTAAATGGATTCTGTTCACATCCTGTTCCCTCTGCCTGGGATGTTCTCACCTCAATCCTTCAGTCATCAAACTCCAGGATTCAGCTCAGGGGCTATAGGAAGGCATAGGATGAGTTAGGAGTCCCTCCCTTGTGCTCCCACAGCACTCCCCTGCTGGCCCACCATGTTTTCCTGTATCACAGCCTGTTATTGTACAGTGACTGCCTAACTCATGGTAAATGCTCAATAAATACTTGCTGAAACATCGTCTTGTAACTGCCTATTGTTGACAGTCTGGATACTAGTTCATGAGCTTTTTCCTTTTTCTTTTTTTTTTTCTTGTTTTTTATTTTTTGAGACAGGGTCTCACTCTGACACCTGTGCTGAACTATAGTGGCACCATCAGGGCTCATTCCAGCCTCAGCCTCCCAGGCTCAAGCGATTTCCCTGCCTCAGCCTCCTGGGTAGCTTGGAATACAGGCTCGCACCACCATGCCCGTTATAGTCTGTTTTTTTGTTTTGTTTTGGTACAGGTGGGATTTTGCCATATTGCCCAGGCTTGTCTCGAATTCCTGGGCTCAAACAATCTCCCTGCCTCAGCCTCCAAAAGTGCTGGGTTATAGGCTTGAGCCACTGAGCCCAGCCAAGTTTTTTTTTTTTTTTTTTCTTCTTCATTTATTTAACATGTATTTACTGAAAACCTGCCATGTGCCAGGTACTGTTACGTGCTAGAGATATAGCAGTGAACAAGACACAAGATAGACAAATGTCCATGGAAGCAGGGACAGTATTTTATTCACTTTTGTATCCTCAGCATTCAGCCCAGGGATGGGCAAAGAATAGGTACTTTATACATATTTGTTGAATAAACACATGAACCTTCTCTGACTGTTGGAAAAAAACTATGCCCAACAGATCTCCTTTCTCCCTTCCACTAACTGTTTTTTAACTTTCTGCACATAAGCTGTTCCCTGTGGTTAGATACGACGCAGGCTAGACACATACAGATATCCCCATTGTGTGGATTTTTTGGTCAAAGTGGGGGCACTCACTAGGTCCATTTAGCCCCAATC